GGTTCAGTGTGTAACTAAATGAATATTATCATACTCTGCAACCATCAGATTGTTTAGCTGCATCTACCTGTTACTCCTGACAGTCATAAATAATTCTTCAAAATGAATATGTAATTTGCGGTTCCAAGTCATATTATGGGACATCTGATGAAAACGAAACTATAGATATAATATCAATATTTCTCTTTTTCAAGGTGCTTGCAGTATGGTGTACGAACTACAGGAGGCTATGGATGACATAATCTATTTTGCTCTTAGATTACATCATATTATTTATAATTTACCTGTCATTATGACACGGCAGCTGAACAAAAGACTATGCTTAAAGAGACACAGATATCATATCAGATCAAATATCCTGTTTCTGGAGAGTTCTACTGAAGTTGCGAGAGTTCCCTCGAGCAAAGCACGAAACCTCCTCTTCGAAAGATACATTTTCTTCCCTCACATACCCGCTTCAGGCAAAATACCCAACACCTCTCCCTAATATCCAACAAAATGATCAAACCCATGACTTGACAGCGGCTAAGAAATCACCCCAAACAAAAGAAAAATCTCGAAATAAGAAAGACCCAAGAGGTACGATAGCTTAGGCCCAGGACGCGAGGTCTTCACTTCACTCGCAGCCTCGAGAGACACAAGACACAACCATGGTGGACTACAGCAAGTGGAAGGATATTGAGGTGAAATTTGTTATTTTGTGAATCTCTACCACCTTGATTTGTTGGTCTCTTATGTTTTTGAGTTGGTGGATGCCTTCTGTGGGATTTCCTTGGTGATTATGTCGAGGGAATGTTTGTTTGTGGTTTGTTGATTATTGAGTTCCCATGGTAGTGTTGATATTCTATATTTATGTAAAATATGGGCTCCAGCTAATGTTATTAACTATTGATCAGGATAAAAGTTCCCATGTAGTGCCATTATGAAATAGATATGGTAACAGATCTATTTATTTGTTGAAATATCTACAATAACTTACCATAACGATACTTTTGAGGAAGTGGACATAAATCAGTTTATAATTTAGAGTTTGATTATACTTTAGACATATTCAGTTTTGACAGTGCGTCTAGGAAGGAAATTACCCTTATGTTAATAGTGTTACTAGTGTAGGCACCTCAGTATCAGGTGACAAGTATGTCAATATTGATTATATGTTGCTAGTTTCATGATGCTATTTATATCTTTTTGCTCTTCTTGCATGCTTCATGGTCCTTCTCCATGTCTTAAGATTTACATCCTTGAGACCCTTGCACAATTCAAATACTAGTGACAAATTCTATATATCTACAGTATATCTGGAGTGCATGTCTTTAATTTAGAGCAGAAACATTGTGCTGCTATAGACTGACTCGGGTAAGCGTAACAATCGCACCTTGCAACAAGCACTTGGTTTAAACAAACCCCCATTCTGCTAAAAACTCCCTGTACATGCTCACGGATTTGCTGTGTTATCGAAGAATTTAAAATTCTTTTGTGTGAAAATGCCTAGGAGTTGTATAACCATTAGGTATTTGAACAGTGATATGATGGGAAAGAATGGTCAAACCTTTCATATCCCAGATCACAAGAAGAAACCCTAACAATGGAAATGAGGGGGTCAAAACATGCAAATGCCGATGGGAAGGCTTGGACACCTGGTGGAAAATATTACTCTAGAAATAAAGGTGTGATCTTATTGTATTGATGAATTAAACTCTCATCTGCAGTAAAATGTTCTGACCAGATGTAAGCATATTTTCCACCAGGCTCCCAAGCACTCCCATCAGTATTTGCACGTTTCATGTCCTGAACCCATTGCTTCCATTATTTCGGTTTCTTCTCGTGATCTTGGAATATGTAAAAGGTTAGACCTTTCCTTCCCATCATATTGTAGTTTGAACAACCAATGACTACACAACCCTTGGCATTTTCTTGGAAAAGAACTTTAAATTCCTGCATTAACACAACGAAACAATAAGCACGCACATTGAGTTTTTGAACTAATGAGGGTTTGCTTTGACTAAGTGCTTGTTGCTAGGTGTGTTTGCTGCATAATACTGAATTGGTAATGGTAATCAGAATCGATGATTCAATGACAGGCCACTTTGAAGCTGCACAACTTCTAGTTTCACTTCATAATGCTTTTTCTGTCTAATTTTGACATATTGAAGTACTCATTTTCGCTCACAATAATAATGTAACTTCTCATTGCTTGCTTTATCAAAGGGTTTTGAGAAAGATGGTAACAAGAAAAAATAGACTGCTGTCAGCAGAGGCACAGAATAAGTATACAATGCCATAATGTAAACCTTGACCTATTAATGATTGGTAAAATTTTGGTAATTTTTCAGAAATAGCAGCTCCTAACGGATCGTGATAATGATGGTGTAGATGGATATCATTCACTCTCTAGTGTCCAAATCTAGATAATATACACAGAATCAGTCAATATATAGTTTAATGCACAGGGATGTGCCCCCCTGCAAACTCCCATGGAATGCTGGCGCCCCCCAAACCTCGGTCAGGAAAACAAATAATCATCCATGTATTCATGGCAAGAGAGCATCAGATAGACTCAGCATCAGGTATTCCTACAAGATAGTTGTATGCTCTCTCCTGTCATGAATAGAGAAATGATACTTTCTGTTACACAGTATAGTGATTGATTCTGTATATTATTCATAATTTACCCCACAATTTCCCTGGTACCTATCATGCTCTCCCCTGCTATCAGGGCCAAGACTGCTGCTAATGGGGGTGGGGGGTCCTGTGCAATGATTTCTATATATTTGTAAAGTAGAGAGTGGGTGGAATCCATCAATACCATCATTGCATCCTGTTACTATCTACTATTTTGAAAAATTACCAAAATATCAATTAAAGTTTGATGAGGCCAGGGTAAGTTAGAATGTGGAAATCCTAACCATTGGTACCTGGACTTTTGACATGACACGACATCACTAGGTGTTAGTAAAATTTTTGGCACAATGTGATAGAACACCAAGTGCAAACATTTTGTTAGGTCATGCCCATGGCCCTCTCATTACCAAAGAGAAAATTGTTTCTTTGTTTAATATTTGAATATAAATTGAAATTGATGATTCTTTTTTTCTCTTCAAATTTTGAACTCTCATTATTGCATTGCAATGTAGACAAAATTTTGATGTTGGCAAGATTGCTGTTAAAAATGCAGTGGATGTTGCTTTATCATCTTGCAGACCCAAGAAATTGATTTACTGATTGTTCTTGTTGAGTGTGTCTGAATTTCGGGATGATGCTGGTGTAAATATCTTGAATAGGGTAGGGGTGAATGCCATTTCTGCAAAAGTTTCTAATTAGTATATTTCTGCCTTCCAGATTTTGTATAACTTCATGAAAACTCAGTTTTGATATGGATCAAAACTGAGTATTTATTAGGAAAAGTTAGGACATTAAAGACAAGTTCTTTCTCTTCTTTTTAATTCATCATTGCATTCAGAGTCACGCTAAAATGCTGAAATATTTTCAAAGCTAAGTAGTCTTATTTACAGTTCAACTTATTTAGATAGGAAATCTTTATTTTTATAGACATTAGACACTGTATAAAGAAGGTGAACCAAATTAAACCAGAGTATTGTACACTCCAATTTATGTAAAGCATATTTTTATATGTATTTGTGATAATGATAAAGCATCATTTACCTGTTCATACTAATAGGGTACATGTAGGCTAAATGCCATAGCAACTGTGATTTTAATTTATTAATTTTGCTTTCACATAGATGGCTTTACAAGTACCTGGTCATCAAAGAGTTGGTTATTAGATCTGTGTGAACTCGCCTGAATACCCTATTCCTGAATTTTGTGGAGGTTTCTTTTTCAATGATTTTAATATCATAGTTGTTATGATTGTTGTGAAAGACATTATGATTGTTATCATATTTTCAACAATGCTAATAGCAATAAAGATTAAGAAATATAATTGGCTGAAAACAAGGAAAAGGGTAAATAGGTGAGATCAGGTACTAATTAACTCCTTGTGGAGCCATCTATGTATAAGCAAAAATTCAAGTCATAGTGGCTGTAGCATGCATATTTACCTTCTTGACATTAGCAAGTTGACAATACTTTCATTATCATCATTACTTAAACACATCTAGAAACATGCACACTGTATCAACTTGCAGTTTCTTACCCCCAAGAACTACAAGCCCTCCAGCTTCTTTCTCCCAGAACATAAAAAATACATGGTCTTTTAAGTTTCAGTAAAGTAAATCTTATATCTTGGTATTTCAAGAGCTTGATGTTGCACACCAAAAATATATATTTCATTATCATATACATATACATAGCATAAGTAAAGTGCTGTGTGGGAAGAGTTATTGAAAATGGGCATGAATTACTGTAAATATTAGATAAAATACTTTTAAAGCAACTTGTCATATTTTTACTAGATAAACTTTGTTAAAGATGCTGCTTACATAATATTTTCAGTGATTACATGTAAATGTATTTCAAGATAAATTTAATGTGGCTTCCTTTCATTAAACTTTAATCTTAAAAGTTAACCTCTTAGTAAGAAGGATGTAAAGAGGAAGATCAATAAGGTGCAGAAAAACTAAAATTGATGATTTCCTAAATTAGTATTATGTTGCACTATTTGAAAAGAAAGAAATGGAAAAAGAATTAATAATTATACCTTCTCAGGAAATAGCACAATATTGTGATGATGGATTTCAGTCAATAAACTAGTCTATACTATCTATATCTATTTGTTTTTTTCTTAATTTTTTATGTATATACAAGGCAAAGATGCTGATTATTGGCTAATAACCTTCATCACCAACCTATCAATTATCAAATGACTATGGCAAACAATTTGCCCTGTCAACAAAGTCATACACTGAAGTTCTTGAAGTTACCATAAATGAATACCATAGGAAATAGTATTATTGCCATAATTCATGGTGATACCTGTGTAGCGGTTGGTTAAAATGAATAGAATGGCTGAAATTTTTTGCTAGAGATTTTCATTCATTTAATTTTTGATTTTTAAAGGGCAGTTCTGCAGATTGTTTGCAAATTTTGTGCATAGTTTTGGACTCCAAGCAATGCATAGAATGGCTGAAATTTTTTGCTAGAGATTTTCATTCATTTAATTTTTGATTTTTAAAGGGCAGTTCTGCAGATTGTTTGTAATTTTTACCTTGCATAAAGCAGTTTGATTAGAATACTGTTGTTATATTAGATTAGATTGGTCATTGTCTTGCCTAGAAAAAAAATACTAATTTGGATTAAACATTTTGTTTTACATTGTCACATCTTTATTAGAATTATTTTTTTTTTCATTTTATACTGAATATATTCAACCCATTTATACTATATACTTTACCTTATTCCTCACATTCATAGCATCTCATTACTTTGAAATTGATTGTAAGATTGTTGATTGTTATGTAACATATCAGCAGTCATTTGTTAAAAAAAAAAATTCCTTTTACAGATTTCTGATGACGAGGATGACACTCACCCTAACATTGACACCCCATCGCTGTTCCGATGGCGTCACCAAGCCAGACTTGAGCGAATGGCTGAAAAGGAAAAAGAGAAGGAAAGATTATTGAAAGAAAAGAATGAGTAAGTTTTAAAGAAACTTTTTATATATTATTTGTTTGCAGAGAAGAATAAGTAAAAAAAAAAAAAAAAAAAAATTGACAATAGCATATATTGATAGTAGGTCATGTAGACCTACAAACTGACTCCACGGTGGATGAGCACTTGTGGAACCATCTTTATATAAACATATTTCACATAACAAAACTACATTGGGCATTACATGTTCCTGGTAGATATGAGTCAATAGTATTAATTATTCTCTATAAGAGCATTTATAGATGCCAAAGATTCTATAATGTATGAAGAGATTTCCTGGTAGTAAATTTGTTTTACATTAGATCGTATGCAATATTATGGTGGAGATCTTAGTGATGGAGAGGTAGAAATTATTTTTGCTTCTCTAGAAGTATTTTGAGTAATACAAATTGTAGCTTAAAAAAAGAAAAAATGGTATTACTGTTAACTGTATTTGAAAAACAAGTTTTTTGGAGTACCTAAACAGGGGGCAGTAACTCCCTAAAGAATTTTTTTTCATGACTAACTTAGTTTGCATGTTATTTATTTAGCTAAGTAAAACATTTTCATAACCTACATAGGATTCCTAAGAATGCATCTATAATGTTAAAAAAAAAAAAAAAAAAAAAAAATAAGGGGGAAAAAGATTGATCTACTCTGCATTTTTGTGGCATTTCTAAAAAAAATCATAAGTATTATTTGGTACTGAAGGTGCAAAGAGGTGAATTTGAGAATAGGGCAGGAAATTAAAAATATAATCAAATTTTCACCTACTAATAAGTTTTGTGACTTTATCATGTAAATATCCTAAAATCTGCACTCATGACATCAAGGGTGACAACTGCTTTGTAAGTTGTAAAATCTATAAAAAGTATTAGAAATTTATAGTTCTGGGCAAAACAGACAAAATGGCTGAAGACTGATTACAATACTGTAAAGGGTGATTAGATGTTCTAGAACACTTGTATATATATGTACATACACTTATAAGTTTGTACTTGGGTTCATGCATATACGAGTACTCATAGATCCAAGTACACCTGATTCATGCATGTGCATTTTAATGACACGATCATGAGCACAAGGAAGTACAATTATGATCAAATTATTTTTATTTGTGTCCATGTTTGTAGATGATCTTACATGTGTCTATGTAAGATATATACAGCTACACAAAGGTCTGTTGTTAGTAGGTGTGTCGAAACATTCAATAATGAATAGAATGTTACAGAAGGGTTGGTATTTTGGGTTTCAAATTTGTCTCTTTCTGTTTCATGTCTCAAATAGTCGTTTTGGAATTCATATGGGTTCACTGTAAGATGATGAAGGGATGGAATATGCATTGCAATATTCAGATAAGCAACACATACCCAAAAGTAATTGGAAAATCAGGGATACCAACTGCATTAACAACTATATTACACAAAGTATTGTTGCTTGTGTCAGTTTAGCATAATTTTCTAAAGATATTTTTCTGTGTAGCTGTACATGGATGTGCATCCATACATGTACATGTGCAAAAATTTGAAGGAGAAAGTTGTGTATTTGGCGATGGTCAAGATTCTAGTCACTTTTGATAACTGATGAGATCCATTGATCTGAAAATAGAGGATACCATTTAGTGCCACCTAACATTTTGTTGAAGTTTGTGGTCTTGCAAGTAAAATGTTGAAGACCAGCCTGCTTCTTGGTACATCAACATTGGGTATTTGTTAGTGAAGTGCTGTACTTTAAGTATCTAACATGTATTTATTTAATCATCCTCTTGTAGAAACTCAGAGCTCAAGTATTTTACTGTTTTTACAAAAAGGAAAATGATACATGCCTTTCATGTACATCATTGCCAGACAAATGTAATTGTATTTTTTTTTAGATATATAATTCACAAGTAATTGTTAATCATATAAGATTTTCAACTATGTTCATCACTATACTCTGAGACATTGCATTATTACTATATAACATTAATGTTATAGCTAGTTATGTTTATGTGAATGATCATTATATAAAACAATTTTTTGTCATGATTTTATTTAAAAATGTTTTTTGGAACATCATATATTTTCAAATACTTTTGATAATTTTATAATTGAATCTTTCACTTTTACTCAGTGAAAGCATATGTAGCATATGGCCAAACTTGTAAAACACTGTATGTTAGTTTTTCTCTATGTATTCTCTCTATAGTATGTAATTTTTTTCTGCTGACAATAATACTTGCATGGATACTTTCATAAATACCATATAATAATGGAATAGTCAAGACACTGCTTACCATCCACAGATATGAGAAAAGAGTTGAAAATTTAAAGAAGAAGCTACAGGGCTCTGATGGAAATGCAGAATCTACAGATATGACACAATTAAAGGAAGCATTGCAAGAGTTAGAGAAGAAGGGACAACAGCTGATTGAACATGAAAAGGAATTAGAAAAGAAGGACAGGGTCAGTAATTCTTTTTTGTGTGGCTAATCTACAAGGAGTTAGAGAANAGAATTTAAGCAAAGGAGAAGCATGAATCTTAAAGAGTCCGGAGATCGGGGAGAGAAGCAGAGAGAGAGCGATAAGATTTAAGCAAAAGGAAGAGCATACGCAACACGTATTAAAGAGTCAGAATAGGAGAGAGAGAGGGAGGGGGGAGGAGAGAGAGAGAGAGAGAGAGAGAGAGAGAGAGAGAGAGAGAGAGAGAGAGAGAGAGAGAGAAGAGAGAGAGAGAGAGAGAGACTGAGAAGAGAAACAAGGGAACCAGCATTTGCGGGGGTCACTATCGATTAACCTCTCGGAAAATTTCGGGACGCAACACCTCCGTTAATTTCGGTTTCGAGAGCGAGAGAGAGAGAGAGAGAGAGAGAAGAGAGAGAGAGAAAGAGAGAGAGAGAGAGGAGAGAGAGAGAGAGAGAGAGAGGATAGGGGGGATGTGTGTCTTATCAAAGTTGATGTCGATGGCGAGGACTGGCTGGTATGTTTGGCTGGGGTTGGTGGTCGTCTTTGATGCTGGTTTTGTGTCTTTGTTTACATCATTGGTGTTGTTATTGTTGTTTTGGTTATGCTGCTACTTGAAGTATTACTATTCTTACTTTTATTGCTACTTCTGCTGCTGCTGCTACAACTATTACTATTACTACTACTACTATTGTTACTACTATTACTAACTACTAATACTATTACTATTACTACTACTACTACTACTACTGTTATTATTGATATTATTATTTTGTTATTATTAGGATGTTTATTATTATTATTATTATTATTATTATTATTATTATTATTATTATTAATGTTATTATTATTATTATTATTGTTTAGTTATTCCTGTTATCAGTACTCACTCTCAATATCATTTACAATCACTTTTCTGCAAAATTTTTTCACTTAAATCCTCCTTCTCCCCTACCTCATCCCCTCCTTCTCTATAGTCCCTCTCTTTATTCCCTCCCCTCCTTCCCTTCACCCCCCCTTCCTTCCCTCACCGCCTCCTCCTTCCCCTTCCCTTCTCCCCCTCCTCCCTTCACCCGCCCTCGCTTCCCTTCACCCCCCCCTCCTTCCCTTCACCCCCCTCCTCCTTCCCTTTCCCTTCCCCCCTCCTTCCTTCACCCTCCCCCTTCCCTTCCTCCCTTCTCCTTCCCTTCCTCCCTTCTCCTTCCCTTCACCCCCCCTCCTTCCCCACCCCTCCTCCTTCCCTTCACCCCCCCCTTCCTCCTCTCTCTTTTTCTCAGATTCATTAAAAAAGAGATAAATTCTTCTCCCACAGGTAAGTGCGGAAGGAAGCAGTCTCAGTGATGCTCAGCGTGCCAAACGTCGGACAGCCTTCACGCCCCTTTTGCCCTCCCCCCCCCCCCTTTTTCCTACCCCCCCTTTCCTATCCCTATCCTTTCCCCTATCCCTTCTTCTCCCTCCCCTATCCCTTCCCGCCCACTCTTCCCTTTCCCCCTTCCCTCCTTCGCCACTTCCCCTCTTCCCCTTCCCCTTTCCTCCTCCACATTCCTTCCCCCCTCCCCTTCCCCCATCTCCCCCCCACCCCCCTCCTCCCCCCCTTCCCCCATCTCTCCCCCACCCCCTCCGCCTTCCCCTCCTTCCGCCTTCCCCTCCCCCGCCCACTCCTTGGCACTTCGCCCACCTCCTGCGGGTAATGTGTTTTATTGGTCCCTTTTTATCATTTCTCTGAATTTCTTGCCTTCGCGATGGAGTCTGCTTAGGTAATAGGTATTTCGGGTAGGTTGGGGTATGTCAAGGCAGGTAGGAATGTGTTTTTCCTGTGTATTTTTTTCTTTTTTCTTCTTTATCGGGTTTTTCTTCTTTTTTCCTGTGTTTTTTTTTTTTTCTTTTTTTTCTTTTTCCGTTTTTTTTTTCTTTTTTTTTCTTTTTTTTTTTTTCCTTTTTTTTTTTCTTTTTTTTCCTGTGTTCTTTTTTTATTTTTTTTTTTTTTCGTTTTCTTCTTTATCTTGTTTGTGATTGCGCGTGGATGCAAGCAAACGCGCGCAGAAGGAAATGCAGATATCTAAACATACAGACACGGGTATGAAGTAAACACATACATTTAAACTTGTAAACACGTGTAAACTTTTGAACATACGTATGTGTGAATTTGTGTGTGTGTTTTGTGATTGTGATTGTGTGTGTGTGTGTGTGTGTGTGTGTGTGTGTGTGTGTGTGTGTGTGTGTGTGTGTGTTTATGTGTGTGTGTGTGTGTGTGTGTGTGGTGTGTGTGGTGTGTGCGTGTGTCTTATGTGTGTGTGTGTGTGTGTGTATGCATGTGTGTGTGTATGTGTGTGTGTTGTGTGTGTGTGTCTTATGTGTGCATGTGTGTGAGTCTTATGTGTGCATGTGTGTATGTATGTGTGTCTTATGTGTGCATGTGTATATGCGTGTGTCTTATGTGTGCAAATGTGGTGTGTGTATGTATGTGTGTTGTGTGTGTGTGTGTGTTTATGTGGTGTGTCTTGTGTGTGTATGTATAGGAGTGTATGTGTGTGTGCGTGTGGTGTGTGAGTATGTATGTGTATGTGTGCATGTGTGTGTATGTATATGTGTGTATGTGCGTATGTGTGTGTGTATGTACGCGTGTGTGTGTTCTAACATAAAAGCACGCTCGCACGGCTTCCGAGAGGATCCTGTTCCGCCGCTGTATTTGCGTCAAGATGTGACAGCCTCCGCGCACCTCCGGGAATTTTTGCTTGATCGCCAGTGTGCGGGAGCCAACAGGGGCGGGCTTGTTTGTTGTGACCCCCCTCTTCTTTACTTCTCTTCTTTCTCCCTCTTCCTCTTCTTCTTCTCTTCCTCTTCCTCTCTTCTTTCGTCGCTCTTCTCTTCTTCTTCTTTTTCGTCGTCTTCTTCTTCTTCTTTTTCCTCCTTCTCCTACTCTTCCTCTTCTTGTTGTTCGTTATTTATTGTTATTATTATTATTATTATCATCATCATCATTATTATTATTATTATTATTATTATTATTATTATTATTATATCATCATCATCATCATCATCATCATCATCCATCATCATCATTATTATTATTATTATACGTCTCTTTTTGCTCCTCCTCCTCCTCCTTTTCTTCCGTATCATCTTCCTTATCCTCATCCTCATTCTCTTATCTCGGTTTTTTGGTGTTGTAATTCTCCTTATTGTTTTTATCCCTCCATTCGTTTTAACTCTTAATTTTCACTGACACAAAACGCTGGTTTCGATTTTTTTACTTTAAGTTTTTTTCTCTTTTCTTTTTTTATGTGATTTGTCTTTAATCTCCGTTCGATTTTTTTCTTTTCAAACTTGGCCAGGTAGAGTCATTTTTTTAGCACCTTTACTACTGCCAAGAATTGTTTGTTTCGCTTCACTTTCTGCCTTTTACTTACTGTAAAGATGTAACAGTTACAGTGAGATTGTTCGTCTCTCTCTCTCTCTCTCTCTCTCTCTCTCTCTCTCTCTCTCTCCTCTCTCTCTCTCTCTCTCTCTCTCTCTCTCTCTCTCTCTCTCTCTCTAAGTCGGATTCAGAAAGTGGATAATTTGATGATTTTGCCATTAATTATAGGCGGAAAGATCGGTGAATTATTAAACTTTTGGCCCTTACACACTCAGTAACCTTTGATAAATGTTTTCTTTAATTGTCTTTTTCGTTGCGCGTGGTTCGTCTTTGCAGGGGATGTATATTGGGTAAAAGGTATTGTTGTGTATTTTCTTTCCGTATCTAGGTGTGTGTGTGTGTGTGTGTGTGTGTGTGGTGTGTGTGTGTGTGTGTTGTGTGTGTGTGTGTGTTGTGTGAGTGTGTGTGTGTGTGCGTGTGTGTGTGTGTGTGTGTGTGTGTGTGCGTGTGTGTGTGTGTGTGTGTATTTTGTTTGTATGTGTGCGTTTTGGCCGGCGGGGCTGGTACGCTGGGCATGCGACACGTGACGGCATTACATTCGTCATCGGGCACGTCTCTTTGGCAGCCGGGATCCACCGCAGGCTACGGTTCCTTCGCGCCCTGCAAGAAAAGAGGAAAGGGAAAAAGCGCGAGGGCCTTGCGGGTGTATGAGCGGGGTGCCAGGTGCGTTGATGGAGCGCGAGTGCGGTGCCACGGCTTCCTTGTCCTCGCCGCCGCCCGTGCCCCGCGTCCGTGCCCAGCGTAAGTGCCAGCCCCGGGGTCCGTGCTGGGAGCGTGAACAACAGATATTGGGCAGGAGGAGGTTTTAGCAGATCGGGGCGAGTGCCAAGTTTGTGGCAGTGGCAGGCAGAGAGGGAGAGGGGTCCTGGCACAGTGCTGGGGGTCGCCACCTGCCCAGCCCAGGCACTCCCGTTCGCGACCCGCACATAGTGAGTCGTGCCTGTGCTCTCACGGCCTATCTCGGACTCGAGGAGGCCCTTGTGACTCGGTGACTCGTCTCTGCGTGTGACGCTCGAGTGCCATTATCAGGGCGAGTGCGCCGCCGTGTCGTGAGTGTCAGAAAAGAGAAGGACTTCGTGAGCTCCCCGCCAGGACCCGCCGCTCCTATCACACGGTTTTGTCTTCCCTCTTGTCTCCCTCGTTCAAGGCAGCAAAGAACCAACAACACGCAAAGCACGCGGACGAATTCTCTTCTGAAGTCGCTTCCCAACGCACCGGCAACAGCACCCGAGTCACGGCGCTCAGAGCCCTCCGGAGCCGCGTAAAAGGGCGTCTGTTTCTCGGGCGTCGGCGCTGGAGGACGACCGAGGGGCGGGGGGCGGGGGCGTGAAGGGGAAACGGTGCTTGTTGTGGGGAAGGATGCCCTCGGAAGTGGCTGTTGTCTAGCGCGGGGTACAAGAGTGACATAGGGCTCTTGCCAAGGGCGTGTGTGTTGAGAGGGCTATTGTGTGCGTTTGAAGGTAAGGGTATCTATGAATTGTGTGTGTCTGTGCGCGCGCGTGTGTGTGCGTTAGTGTATGTGTGTTTGTGGTGTGTGTGCGTGTGTGTGTATTTACGTACTGTATTTGAATGTAAGTATGTGTAAGCATACTGAGCGCCGCGCTTATGTGTGTGTGCGTGGAGTGCCGCCCCTTGACAGCTTCAAGTACACGTCGGTCACACGTCAGATCATCCGTCACCGCCGACGTGTCTCCTCTTCGACGTGTCATCCAGTCGATATTTTATCCATTTTTCCCTCTCCTCTCTTCTCCACCTCTCGGAAGGACACAACACGCAGGACTCATCGCATGGACTCTCATAGCTTGGATTCTCATCTCATGAACTTTCACCACACGGACTCTCACCACACGTTCCCTCACCACACGTTCCCTCACCACACGGACCCACACCACACGTTCCCTCACCACACGTTCTCTCACCACACGTTCTCTCACCACACGTTCCCTCACCACACGTTCTTTCACCACACGTTCCCTCACCACACGGTCTCTCATCACATGGAACGCCGCCCGCCCTTGCACACCTCTCGCCGAAGTGACCCGCGCTGCCGACGGTGCCATGGCGTGAGGTGGTAAGGGCGCGGCAGTTATTAATAGGATGCTTAAAAAGCGTCAGGTGTTAGGAATCTCGGGGCAGGTACTGTGTCTCCGATCAGGTGGCTCTTACGCCCTTGTTCCACTCCTCTCTCCTCGGGTGGCTATTTCTCGAGTGTTACTGCCATTCCTTCGGTTTAGTGTTTTGTTCGTGTCTACCTCCTCGGTCTGTTGTTAGATTTTTTTTTTTTTTCGTTTGTTTTCATTTAATTTTTGTTTTGTTAGCGGTCGTGTTTTTTTCCATTTTTATTAGCTTTTTTTTCCTTTCTCGGCTTCTAGCTTTTTATTTTAGCTGCCCTTTTATTTTATTATTTTTTGTATATGTTTAATACTATTTTGTATGTTTTTTTTTACGATTTTTTGTATGTTTTTTTCCTTTTTGTATGGATTTTTTATTTTCCTTTTTTTTTACATGACTGCCCCTTTTTCCTCCACTTGTATTTTATGACTTGTTTACTACCATCGACTAGGAAAGAAGTGCCACTCCACTTTAATTTCCTTGTAATTTTGTTCACCGTCGCGTGTTGTTTCTGTCAGCACCTCTTCTCTCTTCCCTGCGTCCATTTTTTTTCTTTTTTTTTTTTACCCTTTCCCCTTTCTGCCTCTTGGGCCCTTTCTTCTCTCCTCTTCTCTCTTCCCTGCGTCCATTTTTTTTTTCTTTTTTTTTTACCCCTTTCCCCTTTCTGCCTCTTGGGTCCTCTCTGGTCCCCTCTTCTCTCCTCTTCTGTTGTTCTCCCCTTCTCAGTCTCTCCTCCTTATCTCTTAACTAGGCATCGCTTGATCCCTCTCTTCGAAGGTCGTGGGGAACGCTCGTACAAACACGTACAAGTGCTTGCTCGCGTACTCGCTCTCTCGCTTTCTCTCTTGCTCTCTTTCTCTTTCCCTCTCTCTTTCTCTCGCTCTCTTGTTCTCTCTCGTTCTCTTGTTTTCTTGCTCTCTGTTCTCTCTTCTTGTTTCTCTGTCTCTCTTCTCTTCTCGCTCCTTTCTCTCTCTCTCTCTCTCTCTCTCTCTCTCTCTCTCTCTCTCTCTCTCCTCTCCTCTCTCTCCTCTCTCTCTCTCTCTCTCTCTCTCTCTCTCTCTCTCCTCTCTCTCCTTCTTCTTCTTCTTCCTTCTCTCTTCTCTCTTCTTTCTTCTCCTTTCCTCTTTTCCCACTTTCTCCCTTTCCATCTTTCTTTTCATTTCCCTCTTCCCCTCCTCCTTTCTCCCTCGCCATCCCTTCCCCTCCCTCGCTTTCCCTTTCCTTCCCCCCTCCCCCCCTCCCCCGCTTTCACTTCAGGGCTCGAAGAACGTCCGCCGCGCACCTGTCCCCATCGGCCCCTTCCCTCGGTCCCTTCCCCTGGTCCCTTCCCTCGGTCCCTCCCCCTTGGTCCCCTCCCCTCGGCCCCTTCCCCTCGGTCGCTTCCCCTCGGTCCCTTTCCCTCGGTCCCTTCCCCTCAACCCTTTCCCCTCGGCCCCTTCCCTCAGCCTTTTCCCTTCAGCCCCTTCCCCCTGGCCCCTCCCTTGGCCCCTTCCCCTCAGCCCTTTCCCTTCAGCCCTTCCCCTCGGTCCCTTCCCCTTGGTCCCTTCCTTCAGCCCCTTCCCCTCGGTCCCTATCCCCTGGTCCCTTCCCCTCGGTCCCTTCGCCCCTCCCCTCGGCCCTTTCCCTCGGCTGGTTTTTGTCCTCGTTTGGCGTCTCCGTGTCGACTCTGAGGCCCGTTTGGTGACGTGAAGCTTGGGGATGACACGGGATCGCTTAAGAGTTTACCGTGTCTGTCATTCTGTGTCTCTCTCTCTCACTCTCACTCTCTCTCTCTCTGGCTCTGTCTGTCTGTCTCTGTCTCTGTCTCTCTCTCTGTCTGTCTGTCTGTCCTGTCTGTCTGTCCTCTGTCTCTCTCTCTCTCTCTCTCTCTCCTCTCTCTCTCTCTCTCTCTCTCTCTCTCTCTCCTCTCTCTCTCTCTCTCTCTCTCTCTCTCTCTCTCTCTCTCTCTCTCTCTCTCTCTCTCTCTCTCTCTCTCTCTCTCTCTCTCTCTCTCTCTCTCACACACACACACACAGAGTAATGAGAGAGAGAGGAGAAAAGAGAAAAAAATCCCGCATTGAGAATTCCTCGGCCCTCCCTCCCTCGCGACGCCGACGATCCTTTCCGCGTTGTGCTCTAATCTCTTGTATCTCGAGGCGGAGGCCAAAAAAAAAAAGATAAAAAGAGGGAGAGAGAGAGGGGGGGGGGAGAGGGGGGAGAGAAGGAGGGGGAGGGAGAGGGAGAGGGAGAGGAGAGGAAGGGAGAGGAGAGGGAGAGGAGAGGGAGAGGGAGAGGGAGAGGGAGAGGAGAGGGAGAGGGAGAGGGGAGGGGAGAGGGGAGAGAGAGAGAGAGAGAGAGAGAGAGAGAGAGAGAGAGAGAAGAGAGAGTGAGAAGAGAACGAGACAGAGACAGAGACAGAGGCAGAGACAGAGACAGAACAGACAGACAGACAGACAGACAGACAGACAGACAGAACAGACAGAGAGAAAGAGAAAGAGAAAGAGAGAGAGAGAAAGAGAGAAAAGAAAAAGCGAACGAGATACGGACGAGACACGTTAACGGACCTTCCGCGGTTGACGTCGCGAGTTTCGGTAGAGTCTGTTGCTCTGGTTTTCGGTTCGTGTTGGATGTTTTTGTTTTGTTTTTGTTTGGTTTAGGTTATTTGGTTAGATTTTTATTTTATTTTCTTCAGTTTCTTTTGTGTGTGTGTGTGTTGGTTTTCTTTCTATGTTTCTGTTCTCTGTTTTCTCTCTCTGTCTCTGTTCTCTCTCTGTCTCTGTTCTCTCTCTGTCTCTGTCTGTCTCTCTGTCTCTCTCTGTCTCTGTCTCTCCTCTCTCTCTCTCTCTCTCTCTCTCTCTCTCTCTCTCTCTCTCTCTCTCTCTCTTCTCTCTCTCTCTCTCTCTCTCTCTCTCTCTCTCTCTCTCTCTCTCTCTCTCTCAAAAATGCACCCAGTAAGATAGTCACGTGTAAACATGTGAGTTTGTTTAGTTTTATTTTTCATTTACTTTTGTGTGTGTGTGTATGTGTGTTCGTGTGTGTGTTCTTGTTTTTGTGCGCGTTATTTATGTGTGTATGTATTGTGTGTTTGTGTATGTGTGTGTATGTGTATGCTTGTGTGTGTGTGTGTGTATGTGTGTGTGTGTGTTCGTGTGATCCACCATGTTTTTGTGCGCATATTTCTGAGTGTGTGCGTGCGCGGCGCGGCGTGTGTGTGTGGTTTTGTCATCCATCACTTTTTTTTCTCTCTTTAAAGACCGTTGCGTAAGCGTCTCCATGATTCACCTCCGTTCCACCTTGGCTCCTCTTCTGTCGCAAGTTGTCTTCGTTTCGTAATGTTTTTTTTCTTTTCTTTTTTTTGACGTCACGAATTCATTTTATGGCTGATAATTAGCGATAGTAGATCGTCCCTTCTTGTCCGGAAGAGATGTCGACGCTTTGTTAATGGTTTTTTGTTTGTTTGTTTGTTTGTGTGTTTCTCTGGTATGTCTGGTTGTACCCGTGACCTTGGGGTTATGAAGATTTGTGGATTCTCTTCATCGTAGAAGTATTTGTTTTTTTTACTCTATTTACACTACGTCCACATCATCTCTCGAATAGGATTAGGTCACTATCAAGGTCACAATCGCCACTATTCTTCGCAATCTCGCCATATGTGATTCCCCTTAATGTTTAATCGTAAGAGCACCAGCATGTCACCTTCCACCATATTCTGAGACCATGTTACCATCTTCACCACATTCTGACACCATCCTACCATATTTTGACGCCATCCTACCACCTTCCTACCACATTCCGAAACCATACTACCATATTCTGACACCATCCTACCACCTTCCACCACATTCTGACACCATCCTTCCACCTTCCACCCACATTCTGACACCATCCTACCACTTCCACCACATTATGACACCACCCTACCACCTTCCACCCCACTCGCGACCACACAACACCGAGA